AGACTGTAGTCCTTCTTAACCTTTTTTTTTTTTAATTAACTTCTTTTTAATTGAATCACAGTGAGATACCCGCAAAGTTTTTCATGATTGGGTTTCAGTTATATAATGTTCAACACCCATCCAGTTTACATTTCCCACCACCAATGTCCACAGTTTCCCACCCCCCCCCCCCTTACCCCATGGCAGGCACTTTTATTCTCTCTCTCTCTCTCTCTCTCTCTCTCTCTCTCTCTCTCTCTCTCTCATCTTTTGGGCATTGTGGTTTGCAATACTGAAAGGTTATCAAATATATGCCTTTACCTACTTTCAATACTCAGTTCCTGTCCAGAATGATCATTTCCAACTATTAACATTTAAGAAGTATTTATTACAGATGTAGGGGGAAATGTGTATAACATTCCAAAACCTTTTCATAAAGTGAGACTGACATAAAAGAAAAAAATTGGGGTGGGGGAACAGGCTTTTTCTACTCTGGACAAGCCCATATCCTCTCTTATTCTCCTCACCACCACCACTGCCAATTTCTTTCAATAAATACTATTTTGCTTCACTAAACATTTTGTTACCATTTTTAAAAATTTTGTTTAAAATTTAAAAAAGGAATTTTAACAAAAAAAAATTGTTCAAGTAAGTTAGTGAAAGTTGAATACCGGATGACCCCACTCATCTGTTTGTTTGCTTTTCTTTTGGGGCCACACCCGGCAATGCTCAAGGGTTACTCCTGGCTCTGCATTCAAGAATTACTCCTGGCAGTGCTCGAGAGACCATATGGGATGCTGGGGATTGAACCCGGGTTGGCCACATGCAGAACAAGAACCCTGTCCACTGTACTATCACTCCTGCCCCTACCTCATTCAGCTATAGTACATAGAGAAAGTAGACAAGGGAATAGAAGGTATGAAATGATGGCTCCCCTTGATCCTGTATTATGGAACTGAGAAGACCAAGGCAGGGGCCAGGGGTGGTGTGAGTGAGTGGATAGGGAGGAACAATGAAGTAGATTGGCTATATCATAGGGACAATGGTGTAGAGGTTCCTGGGCACTCTGGTGAGGTAACGTTACATCAAACATGTGTCCCAAACTATAATAATTAGATTTTTTTCAAAAGTGAGTTGCCAAGTGGGTGAGGTGAGTGCAAGAGGTCCTAGAAACTTTGGTGGAGGGGTGCTGACACTATGGTGGATGTGGAATTGGAACATCATATACCTCAAACTCTAGCATTAACAGTACTGTAAATCATGGTGCCCAAATAAAAATTAGGGAGAAATTACTTTCAAATAGCTTGAGGACCTAACCATCATTATTATCATTTTATCTATGCAAATGATCCAATAGATCCAGTCAATCAATTCCTATGCATTTTTACCCAGGAAGGCTTACTGGAAAAAAGCAAGCTGAAAAGGAAATTAAAATTCACTGTCCAAGGTCTAATGACTCAGGTATTTTCAACATACAGAATTCTTCATTAAATATACCATTAAAGGTAATATTAAAACTTCTTACCTGTTCTTCTAGGCTGTAAGTTATGTCTCACATAACAAATTTTCCGTGAGCTCCTTCAAGTCTGACAGTCATTTATGCGTTAGAGCTCTGCATGATTATAGGAATGTAATGGTGCTGAACATAAAGAATACATTTACCTTGGTTTAAAGATTTTTTTTAAGTATAAAATTTGATAAAAACAAAATGTAGAAGGCAGGGGTAAGAGAATGGATCTTAGTTGCCTCTTAAATAATCTAGACTATTTAGCAAAAAAGTAAATAATCCTAGTTTTTTTCACCAACACTAAGGCCTGCCAAGTCACAGAATGTATCTCCTTGGGTTATTTTGTGATCCACAGCTACTTGGGGTCATTTTTCTATTGTACACTTCTCTCCATACTAAAGTGGAGAATTTGGTGCCCACTCCATCTCATTTCCAACCTTTCCTTTATAAGGCATTTGAAAGAGACATATAAATCTTTAAATACTACACTTTAGATTCATTTGCATGTAAAGTTTATTTCATAAAGGAGCTCCTAAGGATATTCTTTCTCTCACAATATCCTAGTTGGGATATACACACTTTCTTTTTTTATATATAATTTTTTATTTTATAAAGTAGTTCACAATATTTGATCACATTTAGTATTCAAACACCAATCCCACCACATTACAGCTTCCCACCACCATATTTTGGATGTTTCCATCCCAAAAACCAATTTCTGCCCCAAAGCAGAACTAAAGTAATATATTTTGTAGTTTTTGTTATGAAAAAAACACAGAAAATGCTACAAAAAAGTATTCTTAGAGGAAAGAATGTGCAGATTGTTGCATTTCACCCAGAGGACATTAAGCCCTTCTATAAGAGATCACTTATATGTTGTTAAAGGTTGAGCCTTGTGTGCTTTATATCTATCTATCTATCTATCTATCTATTTGTGGGGGAAAATATATTTCGCTGTAAGATTGGTTACCTCCTACTTTGTACCCTATCAAATGTGGTGCAGTAGTTTTGGAGTATGGGTAAGGTGTGTGGTTTGAAGTATCAACCATGTGGTCCAGGAATAGATTCACTCATGGGTGAGGCTTGGCCCAAGTATGTGGAGAGCCACTATGAGCATGGCGATGGCTGGGTTCTGAAGGTTTTCAGCTGGCGGGGCTGAGTCCCTTGGGAAGGGAAGGGGTCTCACCTGTTCCTCTCCGGTGTGCCCCGAATGAAATAGTCTGGCGCGGGGTCAGTGACATAGTTATGGAGACCATCATTATGCCCCCTTCTGGAAGAGAAGGACGTGTGATCGATACACAATTTCTTGCTTCTGGATTTGTATATGGAGTTTTCAAATGAAAGGGTTCATCGTGGAGGGGATCCACAAGTTCCAGGTACTACTGACCTTATCCTGTCCTCCCAGACACTTTCCTGTCTGCTGTGCTCCCATTCTCAGACCCCCATCATCTCTGGCCCACACTTGACCTCATTGTTCCAACACTTCTGTAGTGGGCTGGGTATAGAAGAAACCAGACTCTGAGGGTCACTGGTGCTGAAAAGAATCCCATTCTACCCTACTCTGCTGCTTCTCTGGACTTCATTTGGTCACGTGACTACCGGCCTTTGTTTCTGATACTTTCTAAAAGTGGCTCCAATTCTGGATATTTCACTGGTGGTTTTCCTAATCTGCCAAACTCTAATTTTTGGACTTCTTTTGTGTCATTCCTCATCTAGATTCTGCTCGATCTGTCATACACTTACTATGGCCTATTGCCACCCCAGTCCAGAAGAAAAGAACATTTAAATATAATCTCTGAGGGCTGGAGAGATAGCACAACAGGTAGGGTGTTTGCCTTGCACGCAGTCAACCCAGGTTCGATTCCCAGCATCAAATATGGTCCCCTGAGCACCGCCAGGAGTAACTCTTGAGTGAAAAGCCAGGAGTAACCCCTTTGCATCGCCAGGTGTGACCCAAAAAGCAAATAAATAAATAAAATCTCTGTTTTGCTACCAGAAAACTTTTTTTTTATTTTATTGAATCACCGTGAGAACAATCACAAAGCCTTTCAGTTCATGCCTCGGTCGGTCATACAATGATCAATCACCCGTCCCTTCACCAGTGCACATTTTCCACCACCAAGAACCACAGTATACGCCCCCTCCCACCCACCCCCTGCCTGTGTGGCAGATTTTCACTTTACTCTCTCTCTTCTACGTTGATCACATTCAATATTACAACGAAAGACCCAACATTGTTATTTGGAGTTTTCCCCAACTTTCAGACCTGCCACAAAGGCATAATTAGAAAATTTGTTTTCTATTGCTGATTATGAAGAGCATATGATGTCGTGTGGCCACAATAGTGGCCACGCAAATTTGGATTTTTGACATTTTAGTAATAAACCTAGAGGGATTACTGCCAGAAGCCCCTGGGTTCCGAGATTGGTATGTGTGCCTCTGGGATCATGGTCAGTCAGAACCAGAGGAGGCGTTTGAGGGTGGCAACCTGGAGCATTGTCATGGCGGGGAGCAGGGCCAATTCCACCCCCATCCCATGAAACTCCACGTGCCTCATCAATGCAGTCTCATACCTGGCTGTTCACTAGGCTCTAAAAGATGCAGGCCACTATGCTGCCACTGCAAAGGGGGACAGGCGAGGGAAAGACACCCTTCCCCTCCCAGGGTGGCATAGCACCATAGTTAAATACAAAATCCAGATGTGTTTTGGTTGGGCATTATCTTTTGCTCAGATTTTCCTATCACCATTCAAGCCTGATTTTCAGGGACAAATGCTAGATCCTTTGCTTTCCATTCATCACTTTGCATATCAGGAAATGTCACGCGGCCACTTATGCTGGCCGTGTGGTTCAGAAAAACAGTCCTGGTACCCTCATGACAGAGCCATGCTTGTAGAAGCTCATGGTCACCGGGATTCCATCTGAGGAAGGTGGGGAGACAGCACCTACCCCATCTGGGACCTCCCAGTGATATCAGCTCTGGATGGGGCCCGGAGCATTCTCCAGGAGCTGTGGGGGCTCTCCAGCCAGTTTTTTTCTTCACTGCTGTGTGCTGTAAGATGGCGCTGGGGGTGGGTTGTGGGCGTTACTTTTGGAATCAGAAGTTGCCTTCTACCAGAAAACTTTTACACTTCAGACATGGAATTGAATTTGCCCTAGACACAGGCCCTCTTCTCTGTCTGTCTGTCTCTCTGTCTCTGTCTCTGTCTCTCTCTCTGTCTCTCTCTCTCTCTTGCTCTCTCTTTCTCTTGCTCTCTCTCTCTTTCTCTCCACTTCATCTTCCTTTGCTCACTCTACCTTCAGGTAATCAAGCAACTGCATTATGCCATCTCCATGGCTGTGTGGAATTAAAAAACTCAATACTCACCCCCCCCACCCTACATCCCCGCTAAGCTCTTCTCTGCCTCCATCTATCCGCCCTTTCTCTATTTCAAGCAAGTAACCATAAATACTAAGGGACAAAGTGCGTAACATTCAGGAAGAGCCCTGCAATCCACTGAGAAATAGAAACCTGTGACGCTCACAATATTGGTCTTTATTCACCCGGCTGCAGTGCTGGAGCATTTACAGAGAATGTAAGGCAGTGCTTGGAGCCTCGCTTGATGCCTGTACGCTTGCATCCCCAGCATCTGAAGGAAGCTCTTCCACGTATGCTGCAGGAAAGTGACCTTTCTTTCCATTTAAAGATCCAAACCACCATCCTTCTTCTTTTTTCTTGTGTATAGTTACAATGTCCCCTGTGAAAATGAACATTTGACTAAATGGGTCTCTGAGATTAGAAATATCACCTGAGCCAGACCTGTAAGGCAGCTAGGGAGAGTCTGTTTCTAAGGATTTGCTTGGCAGCATCATTTCATGCATGTGATTTAATTTGGATGAAGCAAAACTTACCCAAAGTATTTTGTATGCAGCAGACACAATGCAAAGACAAAGAACAAGATCATTGATGACCAGCTTGTGTCACAAAATAGTGTGATTAGAAACAGAATTGTGGGTTGGGGAAATGACTAAAATTGCTGGGCTGGATTTGATCCCTGGTAGTACATGGTTCCCTGAGCACTGCTGGGAGTGACGTCTCAGCTCTACTACTGTGACCCCCCCAACCAAACACAAATAAACCCCAGAATTGTGCTCAATCAGATGTCACTCTCATGTTGCCTGGCTCACTTTAAGTATAATGGGGACATGATCTTTAAGCTTTTCCTTGGTGTTGGTTTCAAGTGTTGGTGGCCACCAAAATTTTGAAAGTTGGCCACTGTGTGTCAGGGATCACACTTTTTCCCTAAGATCAAGACAACAGCTCTTAATAGCTGGACTGTGCCAACTTCACAGTTACAAGGCTCAACCCACAGCTATGCACAAAAAGAGCTTCCTACTGAACAAGTAGATAATTTTCATAAAATAGCAGTTTGAAGACAATACTTTTTAAAGTAGTGATTCAAATGAATAGGATTTCTAAGAAACACCTGGTTCTTCTCTAGGGAAAAAAAAACCAGTAATACCACCAGTATTCTGATATTAATAACCTAAGTCTGATACCCCAAATCCTTTGGCTAAACCCTTCCTGGGAAAGTCCTTTCTCTCTGGCTGCTGGCTGCATGTCAAAGTGTAAAGATTCAGCTCCTCCAGGATCTGTAAGCTACTTTATCTTTAGCATCATTCTGAGGTAATTTTTCATCTTTCATTTTATTCCCCAGTAGTTTGTTCCTTAGGAGACTGATAACTCCCCTTCTATCTTTCTTGTCACAAAACACAATTCTACTCTTGTAGGAAATCAATCTCAGTTTCAGATCTCCATTCATTCAGTTCTCTCAGGTCAGTAGATTAACATAATTCAGACCAATAATTCACTATGTTATTGCCAACTCCCCTAATCCTCCAATGTCTCCTTTTACTTGAAGGAACCATTTAGGAAAGAAAATATAAATGACTTTGCAACCAACAGAGCACTAAAAGCAAGATGATCAATTTACTGTTTGATTGTATAATTCAAATGTAGAATCCCAGGGTTTGAGCTGACCTCTGAGGAATGAGTATTCATATGGAAACATAGATTTCATTTATCCACTTGTTTCTTTATTTGAAGGTGCCCTTTAGAATGGCATAATGAGTAATGAAGTGACTTCCATAACATGAAATTTGAAAATAAAGGCATTGCTGATTGGAGATGAATGAAAGCAGAGGCATACATTCTATTTCCCTTTCTGTTTGTTTTACTTATTTCTAGCCCACAGGAAAAGTAATTGCCTAGAGAATTATGCCTGACTGGCAAACTGAAAAGGAAGAAGGTTTTAACCACAGGAAGTATGTGGTTTCCCATTGTAAGCTGCAAAATTCATCTTGAATTTCCATTAACCCTGGGGCACCATCTCTTGAAGGTTATTCCTCTCCAATGACACAACTCTTTCTCACTGCCTTTTCATTTCCAGACCTCTGCCTCAGTTTTAACATCAGAATATACTTGCTAATTAGACACACAAAGAAAGTTGAGACTGGTGACATTTTCTTGTATAATAATGTTGTGATCTACATGACCCATTACATAATATCTCTGCATAATAAATAGAAGTCTGTGACACAAATGAGGAGGTCCAAGTCCTTCAATTAGTCATAAAATACCTTACTGAGAGCAATTTGAGAAACAGTAAGCTCAGAATCCTTTGCTTGGGTCATCTTACACTAAACCATGAACAGAACTTTTACATAACTGTGTCAACTTTCTGAAAAAGAAAATCGATTGGGGGACTTGAACGATAGTACAACAGGTAAGGAGCTTGCCTTGCACATGGTAGAGCCAGGTTTGATCCCCAGAATCCCATATGGTTCCCTGAGCACTGCCAAGAGTAATTCCTGAGCACAGAGCCAGGAGTGAGCCCTGAGAACTGCCAGGTGCAGCACTCACCACCAAAAAAAAAAAAATAGATTGGAAATAGGGACAAATGATAGTACAGCAGTTAGGACACTTGCCAATCCTCAGCACACCATTTGATCTCAGGAACCCTATTGAAAGCACCATTGAGTATGACCAAAAACCAAAAAAAAAAAAAAATAGAAAGAAAATAGATGTGACTGCATCTCTAGTGGCATGCATGACTGACATTCTTTGCTAATATAATACTGGGGTTTACAAGTGCTTTTGTTTCTGATTCACATCTTATGCTATTATCACAAGTGACTTTAAATAAAGTCCTTAACTTTTCCCATACCCCAGTCTCCTGAGCTGAACAATATTTACTTCAGTATTTTTATGAAAATTAAAAATTGGACAATATCCTTTCAAAAATGCCTGGCACATCACAAATGCTGAATAAATGTTATTATGATGTGAACTTTATTTTTCAGTGTGCTTTGTTTTTTAAGAAGTCTGGTTTTGTCTTTCAAGATTATACACCTGAGCTGACATGTTAGTGGATTTTTTTTTTTTTTTTGAGGCTGCCACACTAAGTCAGGAGTTTTATTCAAACTAAAGATCTCAAAGTAGGAAAGCAATTAAACTATTGAGATTGGTCCTTACCTTTTTTCAAATTCAATTCATCATCTTGCCTGGCTTGAAATGAATATAAAGCCTTGCAAAGACCATTGCCGAGCTGGACCACGCTGGAGACTGAAAGTTGAATTAAGGTGTAATTATATTACTAACACTGTCAGTAGGCAATAGGAATATAAGGGGAAGTTCTTTAGTTATTTAGCAGCATAGTGCAGCAGAGCTTAAACATTGAAATATTCTTAAAAGGAAATTTGACTTGTCTTCCATAATGTATCTTGATTCATTAACATTTGTAACAATTATGCCTGTGGATTATAATATATAATATAGTCAATACAGTATATAAATAAAAACGTCCTTATAGAGCAAATAAGTCTGTTGTAAAAAATATGGTCAGAATAAAGAAGATAACCTAATAATATAGTCATGGGTTACTCTGCACAACTGACTACATAATATGATGATGGTCCAATAGGCTCAGGCAGTATTTCTTAATCTATTCCTGTGGATGGCCCCCTTCTGACCTTGTTTCATTCCCATGGATCCCCTCCTACCAGCTGTCCTCTTAGTCTTGTGTCATGGTTCCCCATTTACATGATTTTCACCTGTGGTTCCCTTTGAATATCCTGGGGGCCTACTGATGGTCATATGACCCACAACTGAGAAAAGTTGAGCTGTACCATAGTCCAGTGTGTGCCATTTACATTCATGTAATTATACGTTATGATGTTCATACAACTACATCACCTATAATGCATTCTCAGAATGTCTTTTGTATTTCTATCATTAGGCTACAGGTAGTTATATCGGTTTCTCACAGAAGCTTAATTAACACTGCTTAGCTAACGTGTGGTAACTTATATACCTTTCGGAAAAAATACATCAGTGTTGCCCCTTCAGGTACAAATAGGGTACACTAGATGCACATGCTTCTTACCACCAAGTTAGGTCTTATAGAATAGTTTTTCAAATGATACATATGGGCTTTTTGGAACTTTTTTGCTAATTGCTCATCAAGCCATTGTCAAGACTATGGTACCTATAATTGAACAATGAGGGAACAATGATTGGTGCTCCCATATTGCAAAATGAAAGGCAATGGGAGGTGGATGGACACATAACTTGGCTGGACAGCTGAATTAATGTGGATGGCAGTCAATCGGAGGTACTTTTTTCACATTAAAGGTAAAGGTAAAGGCCCTCCCGTTGATCATCGATTTGCTCGAGCGGGCCCAGTAACGTCTCCATTGGAGACTTTGTTGTTACTGTGTCTGGCATATCGAATACCTCACGAGGAGCTCTGCCGTGCGAGCGAGATACTCTCGGTAGCTTGCCAGACTCTCCAAGAGGGGCAGAGGAATCGAACTCGGGTCGGCCATGTTGGCTGCGTGCAAGGCAAACGCCCTACCCGCTGTGCTATCGCTCCAGCCCAACCCTCCACTCCTTTGACTCCCTCCCACCTTTGTATTACATTTTTACCATAAACCAACATTTTCACAGAATCAAATAAATAATTCCAATTGAATCGTAAGTTTCTTTGAACTGATATAAGTCAACATGTCTCTCTGAAAACAAAATGTAAATGGAGCAATGTGCTTTGGATCCAGGTCTGGGAAGAGGATTACCTGGAGAGGAAGAACATGGATAGCTTTGCCTAACAGAAGATGCCCTGCTCACAACATTCTCCAGTCTCTTCATCAGAAAAGGCCTTGAGAGTTTTAAATAGCTATGCATCTGCTGCTGCTCAAAGAGAAAAATACAAACAAAAAGAGCTAACGTCATTTTAAACATTACTGTCACCATATGTATTCATGAAAAGTAACTGTCTTCTAGTTTTCTTAGGATTTTTTTTAATTTCTGAAGTTTAAATTTTTTAAGTAGACAATTACTAACTTACAGCCTATATTTGCCATTCTGACCTGTATCTCTAGCAAATAATAACACTCACAGAATTATTTCTGTAATTTCAACTTTAACTGGCTTTAATGCAAGCGAAATTATCATGACTCTGTCTAATAATGGACATTCTAATGTTCTTAAATCTTTCCAAAGACAACTTACCCTTCATTGCAAGAAGGCTAAAGCTTCCCTTAAGATACTGAATGCGAAACAACAAAAAGCCACTTATATCCAACTCTGCATTAACTGTTATCAAACAATGGATGGGTGAGTTTTTAAAATTGTGCACGCTTATTTACTGTAGTAAATAGACGAGATGAATTACTATAAGAAAAATCTCACAATTTAGGTATGCATTAATACTATAATTTCAATTTAATTAAATTTAATAAAATATTGCTTTAATTAAAGAATAATCAAAATATTCAATTTTAAGTAACTTAATTAAATTAATTTTTTTCTTGCTTTTTGGGGCCACATCTGGCAGTTCTCAGGGCTTACCCTGGGCTCTGTTCTCAGGGGACCACCTCTACCCTACAAGCCCTATAGGGTTTTGGGGACCAAACATTGGTCAGCCACATGCAACGCAAGCACCCTACCCACTGCACTGTCTCTCCAGCCCCATAACTTTAAGTAATTTTATTTAACTTAAAATTTCATAAAATTGTAATAAATTTTAATTACTAAGAATATTTAATAACATTTCAATTAATAGAAAGTTTGTTATATTGAAATAATAAAGTTAAGGTATGAGAAGGAATCCACAACATATTTTTAATGCCTCATAAATACAAATAAAGTAATTGTGCTTTGCTCAAAGATAAAAAAATAAATTATCTTAACATTCTGCAATTTGGGGTTTAGGATATAGGGACACATAATTTATAATAGCTTTTTACGCTGATGCACTTTTCAGCCCTCTACCCTACAAGCCCTGTAGAAAAATTACCACCAATCTCTTAAAGTTTTACCTTTTCTTTCCATTTGAAGATGCGGGTACTACAGGAATGGGTCGGTTTGGGTCTATGCTCTAGTTCAGCTAATACCGAGGACAGTTTATAGGAGTTTGCTTGCAAAAGGTCTAGTTTCAGATTAGTCTGTGGAGACATCATTTGACCGTGTGAATCATTTTTTAGACAATGAGGCATAACTGGTCTGATAAAGGGCAATCAGACAACATTCAAAATGATATGCAGTTTACAAAAGTTCATTCAACTCACAGGCACGTATACACAGCAAAGGCTGAAGAGAAGAAAAATGAACACATTTAAGCAGACCAGAGCAAAAGCTTAGCTGCTGAGAGTGTCCTATCCTGTCTACTTATGCGCAGGAAACCTTGATAGATATATTTATCAGTATTTTGTGGCAGTCAACAACTTTCCCGTTTTTTGTTTTTTGTTTTTGTTTTTTGGTTTTTTTTTGCTGAGGAATGAGAAAGGTTTGTGTTGATTGTGGAAGTTATATTCTCAGCAAGCCATGAAGAAATCCAATGAGCCATAATGCACGATATCATGTGAATTGAATTAGCATCACTAGAATCAAACTAAAATAATTGAAGGTAGATTAGTTGTTGTTGCTGGCATTGTTAATACTTTTTTCTGAAGAAGCGGGGTTTTCTATTAGAAAGTTTGTGGCAACACTTCTAGAAATTGGAAACAATACTCTATCCAGATATTTAAAAATAGAAACAAGGAATCAGGCCTAAAATGTGCTTCCAGTTTCTAATCTCTACTGGATCTTAAACTACACTCAAAATTGCTTTTCAGACTGTGGGGACAAGGTAACTCAACTCGTATTATCCAAACATGAAAGAGGCCTACTGACTCAATTTTTTCTCTTCCTTTCTATTTCTCTAGATGAAGATCACTAACTCAATCATTCACTCCAAGGGTCACAGTCCTGTACCCAACATCTCCAATAGATTGAGTAAGGCTCTTACACTCAAATCAACACATTATATGAGGCTTATATAAGATGAAATCAGAAGTTCCCTCATACCTTCACTATTAGACCTCAGCTGCATATGAGAGCATCATAGAATAAGCCCTTTCCTACTCATGTGGCATCCTGTCCACTATCTGAATACAATTTCACTTCAAAAACTTGCAATTTCTGAAGCAGTTCCTCAAAGATCAAGCCTAGTTTACCAACATTAAATGTTTCAAAGAGTTTCCTCCTTCATGAAATCTTCCTTAGGAAACACAAAAATCTGCCAGTTATATGAGCATCTCCTCACCCTGGTGCAATATGACTAAGGAGTATGCATGGGCATTTGGCACTCATTATTTGAGGATTCAGATTTGCTCCTTCCTCAGATCACAAATATGAGTCTAGAAATCAGATTGTTTCCTATGCTTCATCCCAACTCTGTGAATTCAGTCCGTTGTTTATTCTGTATATGTATTATGCTACAAAATCCATTTCTTTCTTTTTTTAAAAAAATTTTATTAGTGAAACACCATGAGGTACAGTTGAAGACTTACAAATTTTTGTGCTTGGGTTTCAGTTATACAGTGATTGAGTACCCATCCGTCCACCAGTGCCCATCCACCACCACTGTGGGTCCCAGTATCTCTCCCACCTCTCATTCCCCCACCCCCATCCCACCCTGCCTCTGTGGCAGGGCATTCCCTTTTGTTCTCTCTCTCCTTTTGGGTGCTGTGGTTTGCAAAAGAGGCATTGAGTGGCAATCATGTTCGGTCTATAGTCTACTCTCAGCACGCATCTCTCATCCTGGGAGGATCCTCCCAACACCCTTTATTTGGTGCTCCCTTCTCTATCTGAGCTGCCTTTTCCCCTAGCATGTGCAGCTGGTCTCCAAGCCATGGAGTAAACCTTCTGGTACTTATCTCTGATATTCTTGGGTGTTAGTCTCCTATTTTTTTACTTTATGTTCTCCAAATGAATGCAATCTTTCTATGTCTGTCCCTACAAAATCCATGTCTTAATGAAGACTTGGCTGAAAAAAATAGACACACTCTACATGACTGTATCTATCTACTTTCCCCAAAGAACTTTTGAAAGGACGAATTTGTCAGAATTATTAGACAGCTACTTTTTCAAGAAGATTAAAAACATGCAAAGGTGTTTGATCATTGCATGACCGAGACTTAAACCTGAAAGCTTTGTAACTTTTCCTACAGTGATTCAAAAACAAAAAAAAAAACATGAAAAACATGCAAAGTCAAGAAGTCTACCTGTTTCCTGGGTCTTTCTGTAATAGTGCCATTTGCTCAAGCTCGAGCGGGCCCAGTAACGTCTCCATTGGAGACTTTGTTGTTACTGTGTTTGGCATATTGAATACATCATGGGTAGCTTGCCAAGCTCTGCCGTGCGGGCGAGATACTCTTGGTAGCTTGCCAAGCTCTCCGAGAGGGGCAGAGGAATCCAACTCGGGTTGGCCACGTTGCCTGCGTGCAAGGCAAACGCCCTGCCACTGTGCTATCGCTCCAAACAAAAACAAAAACAAAAAAACCTCTTTCTCAGTTTTTTCCAGTCAACTTTCTCTCACTCTAATCAAAGCAGAAAAACTTTATCTAGGACACCCAGGTAATGGGTATCAGCTCCTTTCTATTTTCATACAAAATTCATCAGATTTGCTAACTTCCTTTTTAATGTGGACTCCTTCAAAGTAAGTGACTAACTTGTCCATCAATTTTCCCCAAAGCCAGATTAAGGTGTGTGGGGGGACGGGGAAGAGGGCAGGGGAGGGAGACAGTGCTGTTGGAGTCCAGCCTCTTGGCACAAAGGCCTAGAGGCTCCTTTCCCTGCTTTCCCTGCTCTTCTCCTTAAAACAATCTCAGCTCTCAAGTTGGTCCATTTCCCTGGAAACTGTTGCTTCCTCTCCCCCAAACTCCCTCTTCTTTCCACATAGGCATTACTTTCCTTTCTCTATTCACAGAAGAACCTAATGAGCACTGAGGGATGAACAGAAAACAGCATTTTAGTAACCACCAGAGTTTAGCTCTCCTCTGCAAATAATATTTCAACCTCACAAAAGTTGTTTGTTTGAGTTGTATTGTATCTACATTTTTCAGATGAGAAATTTATGCTGGCCAAGGTCCTTGGTAAATGATGGATTTGGGTTCAGATCCAAATACAGGCCTCTCAGATAGTAGACTCTGGCAGGGAATGGAACTTAGCTGTAGAGTACTTGATTTTCACATGGGAGACCATGGGGTTGATCCCCAATACTGGAGGTAAAAAATGTAGACCCTAAATTTTTGTTCAAATTTTCTTAACGGGTCAAAATACATACGGTTTCCAGATCCTAAAGGAATCACTCTATTTTAGATAGCTACACTAGAGGTCCAGGTCTTTTCCAAGGACCTCTAAGAACTTGATTTTTCCATATCTTTCAGTCTTCCTATCAAGCAGCTGACTTACAAGATCTTTGACTAAATTGTTCTAGGTCAGGAGAAGGGAAAAGCAAACAGAGGTCAAATGGGCCAGAAAACAAACATTCTAAAAATAACTCATCATTAAATGGAGGAAGCTTAACACAGCAAATATTTACCTCATCCATTAAGGCTGCAGTGATTTTCTGGCTCTCTGCATCTGAGAAGGAAGAGCTACTGGAGTAAGCTTTAAGCATTCGTTCCAGGCCTGCAAATGAAACCATGCTCCTGGTCACCATTCATTCCATCCCAAGAGGGCCCAACTTTGAAGAGATCATACTCAGAAGCCTAAGCCGAGAAAGATTTCTTAAATGTCTGTAGCTGTATTTGAATGGAATTTCAATTCAACTTAATCTTCTATCTTTCTTTTTTTTTTAATTATTTAAATTGAATCACTGTGAGATACAATTACAACACTTTCAGGATAGGGTTTCAGTCAGACAGTGTTCCAACACCCATCCCTCCACCAGTGTACATTTCCCACCACCAATATCACTCATATTCCTCCTGTCACACCTCTTTCTCTCTCTCTGTTTCTCTCTCTGTCTCTCTGTCTCTGTCTCTGTCTCTGTCTCTCTCTCTGGGCATTATGGTTTGCAATACAGATACTCAGAGGTTATCATGTTTGGTCCTTTACCCACTTTCAGCACACATCTCTCACACAGAGTGATGCCTTACTAACCATCATTGATACAATGCAACTTACCCTTCTTTAAATGAACAATGTTGGTATGCAAATTGATATATGCATAAAGATTGCTCTTTCTCAAGGTAGGATATTTGAATCATTTTTTGACCTATTCCATGGTGGATTCCTAATGACAGACTCCCCGTCAGGATATTTACAGTTATGAAAATATTTCCAGTTTTTATTTATTTATTTATTTTTAGACCAACTACAGTGATGCTCAGGAGTTACTCTAGGTTCTGCACTCAGGAATCATTCCTGACAGTGCTCAAGGGACCAAACAGGATACCTGGGATCAAACCTCAGGTTTTCTGTGTGCAAATCAAATGCCTTACCGGCTGTATTGTCTCACAGCTCCCACTATACTTACAGTTCTATTATGTTCTCCTGAATTTTCCATAAAGTATAACATTGCAATATATCACTTGATTCACACAAAACAAGCTCTACCTATCAGAATAACCTTGTAGAGTCATTTTTATTAACTATATTGCTTTAGAACTGCCTACTTACAGTAACTTAAATTCATTATTTAGAAAAGTTAGATTTAACAGAAACAAACAAGGAGCCGAAGCTATAGTATAGGGTAAAGCAATTGCCTTGCACACGGCCAACCTGGGTTTGATTCCCAGCACCATATATGGTCCCCAAGTATTGCCAAGAATGTCCCCTAAGTGAAAAATTAGTAGGAATCTCTCAGTACCACTGACCATGTACTCCTTCTTCCCCTCCAAAAATAAGAAGTAAGAGAGCCAGAAGGCCTGTGCACAGGAGGTTTACCATGCATATTTAAAACCAAACTGTCACTTATTCCTGCCAATTTATTGTACCATAAAAAAAGCATTATTTCTGGTAAAAATGGTACCCTTACACAAGTCTCACAAAGAGACCAATATGTCATTTTTCAAATTTTTTTTTCACCTTCTACCATACTTTTCTTTATCCTGACAATTGGTTCAACAATGATTCTTTAAATAAGACAAGCCTTGCCCCAGTCAGTAAAAGCAAATCACTCTGTCTTCTGTGCAGAATGCTTTCCCTAAAAGAGCCATTCACAGAGATAATCACATACCTTCCTGGTCTCGGGAGACTTTCTCAATGTCATTTTGCAATCTCAGAAGTTTTGATTTTATGGAAGATTGTTGTCGCTCTGTAGTCATGGTATTGTTAAGATCTTCTTCCTTTAGGAAAAATATCAAGATGTTGACAATTTAAGAGTTGCTGCAGCAAGTTGTATCAAAACTTTCCACTAACTTTAACTTAATGGACAGTAACATGTTTTTAAAAGTCAAATAACCTTTGCTTTGTACAAATGTCAAATCTGTTCCAGACCTTTTTAAGAAAACACTTCCTTGTTCACAACTTGTTAAGTATGTAGATGGACACTCTTTTTAATAAAACAATTTTCTCTTGGAAAATTGGCAATTACTATAGTTATTTTGTTCTTTCTTGATAATTCTATGTGTTGGATACTGACAAAACTTCAACAGCACGGAGAACAATTATGTGCCTCAAACCCGAACCACCTCCCCCTGCCTCCATGGCAGATATTATTCCCTATACTCTCTCTCTACTTTTGGGGATTTGATCATTGTGTGATTGTAAACCAAACATGAAAACTTGTAACTATCTCACGGTGATTCAATAAAATTAAAAACAAAACCAAAAAAAAAAAAAAACAAAAAAAAAAACCTGAACCACCTCAAGAGGTTAACAAACGTTTGTTAGGTTTTGAGTTGGCTGACTGTTTGGAACATATGAATTAAAATATGTACACATAATCGTCCAAGAATGGTTTGTAATTCAGGTAAGCCCTGAATCATACATAGTATCAATAGATTAGCAAATCAAGGTCAAGTTTCTTTCATTCTTGTGTGGTGCAGACAACAATGCCTCACTTAACAAGAGTTGGGTAGAACAAAAGCTTCAAGGAGAAGAGAAAATGTAATCATGAATTTTTTGCCAAGGGGAAGGAAGGCAAAGATTATGCCAGGCTGAAGAAAGAGTACAAGTTAAAGACAGAGGGAGGACAGTGTGAGGTATAGTAGGAACAATCCACAGAACAGGTGTCTGAGTAGTTTGTGTCAGATTATTGAAGTAAATGCTTTTTAAATAGGCTCTAAGAATATTGAGATGTTTTTGGGTGCTAGACCCCAAAGAAAATCCAACAAAACTAAAGACAAACAATTTGGACTATTAAATTGAAATACTTTGGTCTGACAAAAGGAAAAATAAACAGAGGGCCACACAAAACCCAAGAAACTGCTGACCACATTCTGCTGCTTGGAGGGTGAGTAAGGGGAAAGCTAATTGGGAGTCATTGCTGAGTTAGATCTGCCTTTTCTCTCGACCCTAACCTCCTGATTCCTGATCCAAAGACATATTTTAATTCATATGTTCCAAACAGTCAGCCAACTCAGAACCTAACAAACGTTTGTTATCCTCCTGAGGTGGTTCAGGTTTTTTGTTGTGGTTTTTGTTTGTTTGTTTGTTTGTTTTGGTTATACTACTAATCCAATGGGTAAGACACAATCACTGTACTTATTCTATATGCAGAGAGGAATGAACCCTATAATCTGGACGATGAAAATCTGAATAAAATCATCAGAGGGTTTAGGAAGAATCTATCAAAATTTCATTTTGCAGATTTTCCAATAAGTTCTTAGAAGATGATTATTAAGAGTAACAAAATGGGAGCATTAGACAAAGTCTTTGAGGTATGCCCCCACCCCAATAAAATAATATACCCACAAATACAATGAAACAAGATGACTAAACTCCAACCAGGGACACTGATACTGAATCTGCTTTGTGTATGTGTGTGTGTGTGTGTGTGTGTGTGTGTGTGTGTGTGTGTGTGTGTGTGTGTCACACCTGCCGATGCACAGGGGTCACTCCTGGCTCATGCACTCAGTAATTACTCCTGGTGGTGCTCAGGGGACCATATGGGATGCTGGGAATCAAACCCGTGACGGCCACGTACAAGGCAAATGCCCTACCTGCTGTGCGATCACTCCAGCCCCAATACTGATCTGCTTTTAAACAAAAGCAGATAGTAGCTCTGCCCCAAAGCTCTCAAAATAAACCTCCATAAATTTCAAATTTTTCAAAGGCATGCAGTATGAAGCATGTCAGCAACAATCCTCACTTTCACGATACCTTGGTGTAATCCTTTACTCTAGTGTATGGATTGTACTTATTGATTGAATTACTTATAAAGAGTAAGCTATTGTTACTATGTACTTCTGAGATAGGTTTCTAAAAAAACTGTGCTTTTGTCTTGGACACACCAGCTCCTACTCCAGAAGTAAGATCACCACTTTTGGGAGTAGCAGACTGGCATGCTGTGAGTTGCCCATGGAGAAACCCACACAACAAGAAACACAGATCTCTCCAGTCAACAGAGGGCTGGAGGCTGCCCCCAACTGAGTGAAGAAGCTGAGAAATCAGTCATCCTCCTGCAGAGCCTTGAACTGGCTGCTGACACATTGATTGCAAATTTGCATCATAGTCAAAGGCATGCCTGAATTCAGACCCACAGAAGCTGTCAGATAACAAATGTTAGTTTGATAGCCCTTACATTTGGGGGTCTGTGATATGCAGCAACAAACCACCAATCTTACATACAGTGATAATATGTAGATTACATAACACATCGGTCTAGCATTGCTTTTAGATGAATAACAAAGTTTTAGTCTAAAATCGTGTTTGACTTTCTTCCATTCTAGAGAATATTTTTAAAAAATGCTTCCATTTCCCAGTTTGTAAATTGTACACTTAAAAAATTTATATGGACTGTGAAAAAAATCATTGTCAATTCATAAAACAAGATGTTCCCTTTACGGTTGCTTTCCATTTTTGTTTTCAACACCAATTCTTTAGAACATGACAAAAGATCTCCCCTAATGGAAATTCTTTCCATTCCATACTTACAAAGTAATCGGTTAGCAGGAACACTGATTTATTTTCTATAGATGAAACTGCATTTTCTTCTTCCATTAGCGCCTGGATATCTTTTTCGACATCTATCTTGCTGATGGCACAGTGAATCTGCGCGTGGCACTGCAATGCCAAGGGAAGCAGAACAAGGTTGCTGAAGATATGTTTTCTGCCACTAGGTACCATGCTTGACAAAAAGGGAGATGTGCTTCCTACTCACTGTGGTCAGGGTTTGGCCAAAAACTGAAACATGTTGGGTGTACTGGTGTAAGTTATTGCATAAAAGTTGAATTCTTTCCTTCTCCAGTTCCAGGATACCCTGAAGAGAAGGAAAATAAGATCAGCCAGTTATTATGCAAAATTGAAACTTCCCCATCAGGCAATGACATTCTAGAAGGAAGACAGAGCAAATTGTGTGTGTGCCTCTTGATGCCATTGTATCCAAATGGTGGTGGGGGCAAGATTCGCAGGAGAGAATGTGTCTTGGTGTCTGTCTTATTTATCCTCCTTTTGAATTAATTCAGCTCACACACTTTCCCCAAGATTTTCTACCTTACTTATTTATTTTTCCTCCAACCCTCTCGGAGAGCCCAGCGAGCTACCAAGAGTATCTTGCCCACATGGCAAACCCTGGCAAGCTACCCGTGACGTATTCAATATGCCAAATACAGTAACAAGTCTCAAAATGGAGACATTACTGGGCCTGCTCGAGAAAATCGATGAACAACAGGAGGACAGTGGCAGATTTATTTATTTATTTATTTATTTATTTTATTTTTTTAATTTTGGGACCACACCCAGCTCAGGAGCTACTGCAGCACTGTGCTTGGATGACCACCCACTATTTACTTACTCTTGCAAGTAAAGATGATTTTCCTGGGCTCAGTTCCTTGAGCTATTTCTCTCACCTCTCCCCAGATATTTTTGGCTCAAAAGGCACATAGGCAGGTGCTATGGGTTATCCAACATTCGCAAAGAGGATAGAAGGGAGAATTTGGAAAGTGTCCATGAGAAATAGAGAGGGTAGCCTATAAAATTCCTTTCTTGGGGAATCATTCAAACTCTAAATATTTTTAGAAATATTATCAATGTGTCAAGTTATTCTGCTAGTGTAAGCAGGGGAAAAGACGATGAGACACAATATTTTACTTAAGGAAACTAATAAGAACAGAGTTCCAAATTCTGATCATTCATAATACTGATCTAAAATTAAAGTTGGGCTCAGAGACCACAGTTTGAAGATGGAAACAAAGCCTCCTATTTTGTGTGGGATGCTAAAAATTCCTCTCTCCTACAGTTTTATAACTTTTTGATATAGGAAAAATAATAAATTGAAAGAGCTGTTAGAGGGGTTGATATCAAGAATATACAAAGTACTGGTTGAATTCCACAAGAAGAAAACATCCAACCCCATAAAAAAAATGGGGCAATGAAATGAACTGAAACTTTCTCAAAGAAGAAATCTGAATGGCAAAAAGGCACATGAGAAAATGCTCTACATCATTAATCATGAGGGAGATGCAGATCAAAACCACAATGAGATACCATCTCACACCTCAGAGACTGGCCCACATCCAAAAGAACAAAAGAAACCGGTGCTGGTGCGGATGTGGTGAGAAAGGGACACTCCTTCACTGCTGGTGGGAATGCCAACTGGTACAATCCTTTTGGAAAACAGTATGGACAATTCTCAAAAAATTAGAAATTGAGCTCCCATTTGACCCAGCAATACCATTCCTGGGAATATATCCCAGAGAGGCAAAAATGTATAGTCGAAGTGACATCTGCACTTGTTTGTTCATTGCAGCACTCTTTACAATAGCCAGAATCTGGAAAAAACCTGAGTGCCAAAGAGCAGATGACTAGTTAAAGAAACTTTGGTACATCTACACAATGGAGTACTATGTAGCTGTTAGAAAAGATGAAGTCATGAAATTTACATACAAGTGATACTACATGGAAAGTATCATGCTAAGTGAAATGAGTCAGAAAGAGAGGGATAGACATAAAAAGATTGCATTCATCTGGGGGACATAAAGTAACAAAATAGGAGATTAATACTCAAGAATAGCCGAATCAGTACTAGGAGGATTATTCCATGGCTTAGAGACCAGCCGTGCATGCTAGGGGAATGGGCAGCTCAGATAGAGAAGGGAGCACCAAATAAAGGGTGTTTGGAGGATCCTCCCAGGATGGGAGATGCATGTTGAAAGTAGACTATGGACCAAACATGATTGCCACTCAATGCCTCTTTTGCAGACCACAACACCCAAAAGGAGAGAGAGAACAAAGGGCAATGCCCTGCCACAGAGGCAGGGTGGGATGGGGGTGGGAGGGATACTGGGATCCATGGTGGTGGAAAATGGGCACTGGTGGAGGGATGGGTATTTGATCATTGTATAATTAAAACCCAAGCACAAAAATCTGTAAGTCTACAACTGTACCTCATGGTGTTTAATTAATAAAAATTAATTAAATATATACATATATATATAAGAGAAAGAGCTGTTAGAAAACAGCCAGGTTAATCACTAATATTTTTAAGAAAGTTTAATACAGTGTTCAATTCTCAGCACTACTTATGATCCCCCAAACTGCTCCAGGAGTGATCCCTGAGCACAGAGCTAGGAATAAACACCCTGAGCATAGGCATATGTGCACACCTCCCCAGTAACCTATTAAACACATTGTTTATTCAAAAGACAGAAAGTATATATATATATACATATATATTTGCCTCATAATAAATGTGTATCATACATTCTGCTCAGTAGCTTAGACACCAATCTGCAAGAAGAAAGAGTATTTATATTATAGGAAAGGAAATTTGGAAAGCAATTGTTTGAGTTTAGCAAAGAATAAGCTAAATGAGCAAAAATTAAGAGAGAAAATAAAAGTTAGGTTTGCCTGGCCTGTGTTCAGTGATATTCCTAAATCTGCACTCAGGAGTAACCTTTGGCAGTGCTCAGGGCACCATATGTAGTGTTTGGGGATTTAAATCATGGTCAACCTCATTCTAGGCAAGCACCTTGTCTCCTGTACAATCTCTCCAGCTCTGAGAGATTTAACTCAATAGATATGTAGTGGGCAGCTGTTTCCTTAATTAGACAAGTGCTGGCGAGACTAGAGTAACCAAGGTCCCTTGGTGATGATAATGTTTAATAAATTTAATTACATTTTAGGAAAACCATTAAGATCATCTATCTTTGCTTATGAAAAGAAGCTGATACAAATTCTGTTGTGTAAAGGGGAAATCCTTATCTCATTTAATGAATTTTTTCTGCTAGCTTGTTCTTCTTTTATGTGAAACAGGTGGAAGATAAGGGAGATACTTGATGGACTTCACTCTGCCCTCTTGAGCTTTCACATCTGTGTATACAAGCCAAGTGTGGATAGAGAGTTAGCAAAAAGTATATGTAGAGTCTCCCCAGGAAATGGAAATCATCATAATTCACATTTTCATTAATTATTTTTAGATCATGTCTCTGAACATCTGGTTTATACTACAGGAACTTAGTTTCATATGTGGTTAGCCCCCCAAAATGAAAGTTAATAGTTTGAGACAGGAAGCAGCTAGTGTAATATAAACATATATTTTGATATATAAAATTAACCTGCTGAGGAAGGAACCAGAAAACTTTGCTTCTCATGGAAAAATATTCCCTTGTGTAGGCACTGTAAAACTTAACAATTACAGCATTTGGTTTAAGCAAACTTTTATGTGCTTATTGAAAGATCAGTAACTGTGGTATCCTGTTGTTTAACCCAGACTTTCTCAACTTTTTTCTGACTATAGTACCTTTCCAACCACGTTTTCTTCCTATGGTCTCCCTGTACTACTGATTGGCTCGAGTACCATGCTCTGAGGCCCCATTTATGCTATTTTTACCTGTGACCCCCTTGGAATATCCTACAGGCTCACAGGAGGTCATATGTCTCCCAGCTGAGAATTGACCCATTCCATCTTTGATCAGTTCCCATTTTTGATCAAGTTTCTCTTTTAAGTCCCCACATTCCATCGTGTAGAATGTACTGATTTATTTAGTCATCTCCTTAAGGTTGGTCATTTGAAATATTCCCTCTCTTTTACTCCTAGTGTGTTTTGAAAAGAAATTCATGTTTTGTTTTTCAGCTCCATGTTCAAAGTGAATTAAAATTTTTTTTAACTCATTTGAGAAATTAACTGGGAAAGAATTGAACTCTTATATCTTAAGGTATCCCTTGTTTTCAAGAAGTTACCATTTCCCCTTAGCATCTATGATGGTACTAGGAGTCACTACCATATTTGAGAGAGCATAGAAAATAATAATCAAATTATTTTCTATGCCTTGTGGCTAATATGAAGAGCACCAGTTGGGAAAGTAAACATTTTGATATGTACTATATGTACTATGAATGATTTTCTAAAATAATTTCTGAGGGCTGGAGATATAGTGCAGAAATTAAGTCACTTAATTTTCATGTGGCTGACTCTACTTTGATTCCTGGTACCACATATGGTTCCCAGTACTGCACCTATGATTCCCCATCAAAATTATATTTATGTATATAAAAGTATGACAATTCCTAGGATGGGTATTATCTGTAGCAAACATTTGATTATTGGTACTTCTTGGTAATGTGGTAGTATTGGTTTCCAATATACATTATTTCTACCAACTGAATTGCTTATTCTTGGAAGACAGGAAACTTACCTTGAACATGGTGTGTCCAACATGATATGATTGTGAAGTAGTAAATCTTATTTTAACATGCGGTTTGTGGAGTTACTTAATGGCCACATGAGATTTTGTCATTTTAGTCAGAGTATCTAGTAAACATTCTTGAACATAGTTGAATGGACACTAAGAACACATGCAATAACACTTAATTTCATATATACCATTTTCACGAAACTGTGGTGGAAAAATGTAGCAAAAGCAAAATTGAGAGACCCTAATTTCCCTCTTCTTATCATACTTAAAATAAAATTCCCTTGAGCTCGCTTCGACAGCCCAAATACTAAAATTGGAATGATACAGAGAAGATTAGCATGGCCCCTGTGCAAGGATGACACACAAATTCGTGAAGCATTCCATATTTTTCTACAACTGTACCACATGGTGTTTCACTAATAAAAAATCTAAATAAAAAATGTAAAAAAATAATAACCAGAAAAAATAAAATTAAACAACTGGAAAAAAGTAAACATTTAAATTGCAATAAATATTTGAGAAACAAGAAAAAAATAAAATTCCCTTGTACTTAAGTCAACCCACTTTTGTTATGTGTTTTCAGGAGTATAACATTTTACTCAAATTTTTGAACAATCAATGGAAGATACAGAATGCACAGCATAAGTAATATGTGTCAGTTACTTACAGTGCAGGCTAAGTATATACAAGCTCAGAAGATACAAAGAAAGGGAAAATTTATTGTTTGGAGTAAGGCAAGGATGGCTGAAGAGAAATGGTCTCTAGTTAGTTCCAATGGGCTTAGTTTGGCAGAATAGCTCTATGAAGGGGTAGTAGAGTAAGATAAGCTGAATGACCTAAAAAGGAGAGGGAATATAATACTGGTGACTTCTAGATAATGATGGCAATAAACTAAGACAAAAGAGAGGAAAAGGGGAATCCTTTTCCTTATAGAAAGTCTCACTTTGCATAGTTCTCCATGTTACTTGTAGTCTAATAAAGGACATATGGTCTTAATTATTTCTAAGGTTGAGTTAAAAGAAAGACTTTTGAAATGCTTGCATGTGTTTGTTTAAAAATTTTACACATTTTCTTCATCATGAATCTTAATCATTTATTTATCTTGATTAAGATTATACAAGTATATATATATATCTATATGCATATATTATCTTCATCAGGAATACTTAATAAGTAAAAAAGATTATATAGCCCTACAGTATATAAACTGGAACTACTGAAAGCAAAGTAAAGCCAGGCAGAAATCATAAGTGGATACTAAGAAACTGAGGAAAAGGAAAGGGAGCTCTAATGACTGTAACTGTATCCAAGGTGAAAGAAAACAATGAGAAATATGTAGTTTGTCTGAAGTGACAGTAGGTGTCAGAGTCATAGCTAAGGATCAGGTTGTGTCACTCTCGAACTGACCTCCATTTTCAAGACCACGCAAACTATATGTGAAAAGGGAAAAAGTGGGCTAGAGTGATAGTGCAGAAGGTAGGGTGCTTACCTTGAATGCAGCCAACCTGGTTTGATTCTTCAGCATCCTACATGGTTCTTTGAGCACTGCCAGGAGTAATTCCTTAGTGCAGAACCAGGAGCAACCCCTGACCATTGTGAGATCCACCCCCACCCTCCAAACAAATAAACAAATAAAAGTGAATGTAGGGGATGGAAAGATAACATGGCTGACATCACATGCATCAAACCTTATGTATGGAAGACCCTATTACAATCCCTGATACCACATGGTTGCCCAAGCATCACTTCATGTAACCTTGATCTGGTCACCTAGACCAGAGCAGCACCACATCCTCAGGTCCCTGCATTGAACCACTGGCATGGCTTACCAAGGATCATCAGAGAGAACCCCCAGGCCTCTCATCAAAATATAGAGAATGTATAACTCACCTGGTAACAATTTTCTAGTGTTTTTTCCCATTTCAGTCTGGTAGAACACCCAGCCATGTTTTTTTGGTAGTAATTTTCATCTTCTTTTGACAACTTCTCAGTTGATTTTTTCAATTTATTGAGGAGCTAACATGAAACATTAGTATTGATATCATTAACTCCTTATGAAATACCTCTTAAATTCACAATGAATTCTAATGACATGCTTCCTCTCTGCCTGCTTAAGAAACTCCAGATAACAAAATCAAAGATCTTTTTCAGGAAGGGGGGAATTTCAGAGATGAAAGAAAATCCAAGACCCTTTCTGGGTGATTTGTCCCCACCCCTTTTTACAGGAGAAAACTGAGATTGATTCTTAAATTTGATGTGATGTGCCCACAATGGTCATGGAAGAAGACAAGTGATAGGTGAAAAGAAGCAAGTGGGAATGGAGAATCTCCAATTGAGATTGTAATCTACCAAGGCTTCTTTCCATCTTCTTATCTTGCTCCTTGTTTTGTTTTTTGTGTTATATATGGTGGTGCTTAAGGCCTACTCCTGGCTCTGCACTCAGGGATCACTCTTGGCAGTGCTTGGGGAATCAGACGTGGTGCTAGGGATTGAATCTGTGTAGGCTGTGTGCAAGGCAAGCACATTACCCACTGGACTATCTCTCTGACCCTGCCATTTCCCCCCTGAGTACATCCTTTAGGCCCTTGCATTTCTTATCAGAACTGATAGAGAGACCTGTGCAATCATATAATTTTTAGAAGTGGGATTAGGCCTGATTCAATCCTGCCCAACAGTTGGCTTCACTTTCACCATATGAACTCTGCAGGAAGACTTCGGAGTCAGACTTTGGGATCAGAGACTTGCCTACAGCTGCAGGTGAGTTACTTAAACTTCAAGAGCCACAGATATCCCACCTCAGCACTAGGGATAGTGATGGTGGGTTGCTTTAAGGACTCAAACATGCTACTCACTGGTGGCACCCAATCTGAAACCTATATGATATTTAGAGATTAATGTCACTGTGAATAATGACGAAAGTAGGCCACAAGTCAATGTTCCTGGAAGTAATAGGGTGGTTACAAAGTCCTCTCCTTTCATCCTATTTCCCAGTGAGATGCTGCTTCACAAAAAGCCCTTCTAGCCAATCACCAATACTGGTCAACCTGTAAAATCTAGAAAATCAAAGTAATACAGAACTCTTAGACTAGAGTGACTGAAATGGATTCTCAACGTGCTCAGACTACTAATTTCATATCTCTAAAAAAAGAGGAAGTTGGATGACACAGATGATTCTTAAACATGTTAGTAAATCAGGAATGATAAGGTGCTTGTAAAATTGCAGATGTTCTGAATTAGTATTGGTTCTATGGTCTTCTTGGGCTGGAGCCATAGCACAGCAGGTAAGGCATTTGCCTTGCACGCGGCCGACCAGGTCGGCCCAGGTTCAATTCCTTCGCCCCTCTCGGAGAGCTCAGCAAGCTACTGAGAGTATCTCGCCCGCACGGCAAAACCTGGCAAGCTCCCCGTGACGTGTTTGATATGACAAACACAGCAACAAGTCTCACAATGTTACTGGACCCGCTCGAGCAAATCGATGAACATCGGGAGGACAGTGCTAAAGTGCTCTATGGTCTCCTTGATTTAGTAGTTCTGCAACTGGATGTGGAAATCTGAACTTTCTCTCTTTTCTCAGATGATCCTGATGCAAAAACTTTTAAACTGTCATTTAAGGAACACCAAGGTACTTCTGTTCAGGAGTTTCAAGGACAGAAACAAAGGTGTTTTTTTTTAATAGGGACCCTTTTTAAGGTTAAGGACACTTTGGCTAACATTGCAGTAATGAACATTCATCCAAAAGCTCAATATTAAAGCCACTCAACTTACTATCCCAATTAATGTGCCAGTATTTAACTGTTCCTTGCCTCTGATGTATGAATGATACAGGGTACATTCAGTTTTGTTTCAAGTATAATGTACCACACTTATCTATAGAAACATGAGCTTGTGAATACCAGTTCGATAATGGTGTAGTGAAATCAGGTCATTGGGGCTTCAGATTCCTTTTGAAAAAACTCAGTTCTCTAGTGATGAGACCTCAGGAATTATTGATGCATTTTCTCCCATCAGTCAAAATACACTATGCAGCTATTGCCTGCTGAGAAAATGTACAGAAAATGACCCCCAAGAGATATAAAATAACATGATCTCTTTATTCTATTTAAGAAACTTGAAATTACTGAAAATTAAAATTACTAAAATTTGGCAAAAGTCAAATTTTTTCTTGGAATAAACAATACACTCATTTATCATGCATTGAATTATCAGTGTATCACCTGATGGTCTCTTTGCACCAAAAAAAAAAAAAAAAGAACACCTAGAAATATTCCTTGTTCTAGTCAGAGACATACATGGGACTGTTACTATTCTATGGATGGTTTCCAAATGTCATAGTATTTGAGTGCCACGAGAAAACTAGAAGTGCTTAACCTCACCTCAGAAATAAATTGACATTTAAGCTGAGAATTGGCACATCACCCACACACAAATAATCCCTTTATAATGAATGTAAAATGAATGTAGAATTAGCAAAGCAAAATAGGTTGACAGGATGCAGAAAAACGCTTCAGTGAAGTTGGATTGGTTTCACAAGGAAAATATCAAGAGAAAATGAAGAAAAGATAGACAAGTGTCAAGTTAAGGAGAGGCTTAGGGGCCACAGACAGGAGCTTGCAGGGGCTCAGCTGGTGGTGTCAGGATTTACTCCTGGCTCTGCACTCAGGGATCACTCTTGGCAGGGCTTGGGGGACTACATGGGGTACTGGGGATCAAACCTATGTTGGCTACACATAAGATACACACCCTGCCTCCCATACTATTGCTCTGTCCCCTGGGAAGACTTAATAGGAAATAACTCAGATTCAATTTTAGAAACTCCGACTTGGCTTGTAGATAGAATAGTATTGGTTTCTAGAATGAAAGCCAATAAACCAATTACCTAGTCATAATAATCCCAGAAATAGTCTGGGAGAGAGGAGCTACAATGGAGAAAGACAGAAAAATTCAGAAATATTTAATTTAGGAGTTAGAATCAAGAGGTTATGGTGGATAGTAATATCCAAAGGTAGAGAAAAAATAGGAAGAAATACTTTCTGTTGGAGGGGAGTGATGTTTCTGATGTTGGATTTTGAGGTGCTACAAACAGGTTTATAGCCTGATTTGGGCTGGGGATAAAACTTTAGGAATTTCCGGGCTAGAGAGATAGTACAGCAGGTATGGTGCTTGCTTTGCATGGACTGACCTGTATTTTATCTCCAGTACCCCGATATGATCCCCTGAGCCCACCAGGTATGATCCTTCAGTAGAGAGCAAGGAGTAAGCACGGAACACAGCCAGGTGTGCTCATAAGGAAAAAAAATATTGGGTATTGCAGGCGTAGTATGGTAGTTGAAGCCTTGCAAGTCTTATGTTTAGTTATTGTGCATGATATTGAACACCTAATATTCAGAGAACTATGATGGACAGTAGACATACAAAGCTGAAAAACATAGGAGAGAATGGAACTCAGGAGAGAAATAACTAAAATAGCAGTATAAAAAATGCAGGTAGAAAAATGGAAGTTCTGGCTTAAAGAGATAGTACAAGGGGCAACATATTTTCCTTACATGCAGCTGACCTGGGTTAATATGGTTCGTGAGCCTACCAGGAGTGATCCCTGAGTAAAGAACCCAGAGTAAGCACAGCCAGGTGTGGCCCATAAAATAAAGAAAAAAAAAAAGAAAAGAAAAGAATAAGGAGTTTAAAAACTCAAAACCAAGCAATTACCAGAAAAGTAGGGAAAAACCCAAAGAGTAAGATATTGCTAAAATAAGAGAATATTTCTAGAAGGGGGAAATCAATTGTGCTTTTTTGCACTCAGGAGTTACTCCTGGCAGTGTTTGGGGGACCATATGGGATGGCAGGAATCAAACCCTAGTCAGCTGCATGCAAGGCAAAATGCATGCAGCTACCATACTATCACTCCAGCCCCAATGAACAATACTTAATGCTTCCAAGAACTTAAGTAGGTCAGAGCTTGGAAGTATCCTACAATTTTAACAGCAAGGATGACATTGTTGTCACTTGTAGAATGGTGGGGAGAAACTTGGTTGAGGAGATTTGAAGCATCACCAGGAGATGAGGAAGTGTAGACAGAGCATACAGACAACCCTTTCAATAAATCTTACATTAAAAAGTGGGGGTAGTAAATGATATGACAGTATCTGTAGAAGAACAAGAATATGGCCATGGAGCTGAAGAATAGTATAGTGGGTAAGGAAGGTGCTTGCTTTTCATGTAGTTAAGCCAGGCTTGGTTCCTGCACCCCATATGGTCCTTCGGGCACTGTCAGGAGTGATCCCTGAGCACTGCAAAGTGTATCCCAATCTCCAAAAAACAAAAAATAAATAAAAAGGGTTGTGGAAGATGCCTCCCAGTCTCTCCCTGTTTCCACCTAGAAGGTCAGGAGTTGAGAAGCTGTATGGGAAGAAGCTGTTAGTGAAAGCAATGTCAGAGACACAGGAAAGTAATTAATAAGTCTCTGGGAGCAAGAGGAGATGGGAATAGTGTCAAGATTTGGCCTCTCGCCTTGCTCAGTGACTATGTTGCTGACTTGCATTTACTTGCTGGGGAGGGTGGAGGTGACAGGAAAATGGAGACTTAGATCAGCTGGTGTGAACAAGGACTGCTGAGCACAGAAACAGGAAGAACTGCTGTGGAGATCACTGGGTGCTTCTGTGTGAGAAGAGAAAATGAATGCTGCTTTAGGTGTTTAGTTGAGGGCTTAAAAGAAAATGCTGCTAGATAAAGTGATGAAAATGGCAAGGGTCTTTAATGCAATGACAGCCAAGGGTTGTGATTACCTGATGAGACAGAGGAGGGCGGGGGGGGGGGGGGGGGGGACCATGGACACCACCTCCCAGGGAAGCCAGTAATGAGGGAAGGAAGGGAAAGGAAATTCACCACTTCACTGCCCATGCTTTTTCCTTTGTTATTTCTTGACATCAATAAAGAATAGCTTCTAATGAGGGCTCCTAAAGCCTATGACAGGTCTTGGTGCTTAGCGTTTTAACATACTGTGATTTCGCCTCCTTGGAAGCTGTCTCATTATTCAATACTTGTTATGATCATTTCAAACTGTGAAGACTGGCATATGAAGAAATAAAAACCTTGTAAAATCATGCTAACAATGCATTTAGGTTATTCATCTAATAGTTTCTTTGGATGAAATGATTGCGTGGCTTTGATGACAATTTTCTTCCTTTTTAAAAAAGGAAGGTTGTGGGTTGTAGGGATGTCGGTGCATTTTCTCAGGGGGGACGATCCATCTTTGGGGGGGAGATTCTGACTATTTGAAAGGTTTCCAGTCTGCAGCATAACCACAGGGGTTGTGTGATCATCTCTCAGGCTAGAGATCAAAAAAAAAATTTGATTTTCTGCTCACATTCCAGTTTGATTTGTATTCATTTTTGCCTAAAAACACAATTGGCATTGGTGCCCACACTGGGAAAGTTATGGATTCTGATGTTTCCTGGGGGAAGTGTCGGAATGTTACAACAGGAGAAGCTAAAATCACCTCCCACAAATGTCTTCACTTTCAGCATCTTGGACATGGCTAACTGGGGATTTAAAGATATAGTATTTAGCTTTAATTTGATTAAAACACAGAAAACACCTACTTGATTATCAAAGATTTCTGCCAAGAAGCTTGACATTCCTACTGACAGTTTAAGCACAAGAAAGACACAAGGAAATGTCAGAGCTGATGCTGACCTGGTTGCCGGCTAGGAGCATGTGGGAAGGCAAAAACTGGATGATCTGGGGATGTCTGGCAAAAAGTTTACTAATACTTTTTACATATTCAAAAAGACTTAAAAATATGAACTTATATTCACCATGGTTAAGGCTGAATCTTATCTTAGACATATTTTTTACCTGAAAGTGTCACCTAATGATTAAAGATATTGTGATTAGGTAATCAAATAAAATGTTTTATTTTTATCCTTGAAACATTTCTACTTTATGTTTATAATGCCCACAATGTATTAGTGTAATATGCCAGATAGCACAGCGGTAGGGCGTTTGCCTTGCACGCAGCCAACATGGCCAACCCGAGTTCGATTCCTCCGCCCCTCTCGGAGAGCCCGGCAAGCTACCGAGAGTATCTCGCCCCCACGGCAGGGCCTGGCAAGCTCCCCGTGATGTATTCGATATGCCAAACACAGTAACAACAAAGTAATGTCCAATGGAGACGTTACTGGGCCCGCTCGAGCAAATCGATGATCAACGGGAGGGCCTTTACTTACTTACTTACTTAGTATTATAACATATGCAAAATATATTATTGAATATACTATGTATATATTTTATTTATTTAGGATAGAACTTGACAGATATTCAATCTGGTTCACTTTCAAAAAATCTGGACCAAACTGATCTAATTTGTCATCTCTATCAAAAGCTTTGTGGGCCAGAAGTGATTAGAAGCCTTTACCTTCTGTTTCTCTTTCTCGGTTACTGTTTGCTTGGAGTTTTCCACAAGATGGAAAAGTGCTTCATGCTTCTTGGTACTCACCATTAATTTCTTCTTGGCCTAGAAGTGAAAAAAAAAAAAATGGAGCAGAAGAAACTGACATGAGGAAGAAAACCTGCTCTGGAACAAGTTGCTTAAACGATTTGTGTACTTAAATTCTTTATTTTTGCCCTAATCTCAAAATCTGCACAAAATGTAACAGCAGCTAACATTTTGCCTGGAGCCATTGTGTATTCTTTTCCCCATTAAATTGTGTTCACTTGAGAGGATTATCCATTTTGCTAAATCACTGAATGCCTGCAAACCTTCACATTGTTTGAGCTAGCATAATGGGAGGGGTTGACTTTATCACAGGCAGACAACTGTAAATCACAATAAACAAAAGACTGCCTAGATCGTTTTCCTAGGTTCGTTTTTGTTTTAGTTTTGAGGGAGGTGGTACTCCTGGCTCTGTGCTCAGGAGTCACTTTTATTGGTGCTCAGGGTACTATTTGCAGTGCCAGGCACTGATCCAGGGGTAGCCCATCCAAGACAAGTCCTTAACCATTTGTTCTGTCTTTCCAGTCTCCCTATTTCATTCTTTTAAATCAATCTGGTCCACAACTGAGGTTGTTTTAAGATATTCTCCAAAAACTTAGAGCAAAGAGGACATATTATTCCCTTCTTCTAGACTTGATGGTCTGACATTCATCTGTCAGAGAAATGCCAGCACTGTGTTAGCAGGAAGAGGGGAGGGGGGCTGGGATTCGAAGAGGTGTTCAAGGCGACCTCCTCTACGGATGCCCCAAATTTTGCAGCACATTATAGTTTCCTATTCTACTACACAACTCCAACTTGGTAGAGGATACTCTGGGAATTTTAAATGCAAACTGAATTTGTTTTGACTTGAATTAAATTTGTAAGACACCAATTGTCTAACAAGGTTGCTTGTTCTTTCACCTCAAAGTGGCAAACACTAGCACCAGATAATAAAGGGGAAAGTTCTGCTCTCTCTTAGGAACCAGCCGCAAAATCTTCTGAATGAACATATCTGAACAGGGGAGCAAACCCATAGAGGGAGATTGAAGAAAAGATGTGCTTTAGACCTTCTCTCTCCACTCACAATTAGTCACATGCCCCTTGAAAAAGAGAGTTTGAGGCAAGAGCATTTAGTCCTTTAAGACTTTCCATTTGCGTTTCTAAAATAGACTGTACTTTATTACTGCTGTGACGAGTCTCTTGGATTGTAAATGGGGTGAAAACTATAATAGCTCAAGAATTTTATGTTCTCTAATTTCTCTGTCACTCTTCATGAAAAAAATCAAACTGGTTTATTTAGAAAAATTACTTGGTGGAAACTGGGAAATAATAAAAGATTTTTTTTTCCTAAAAAGCATTTGCTACTGCTGAATACAATTTCTCTCTTTTAGTTTATTATTCTGAGTTTCCTTTTAAAGTCAAATAATTGTAGAAGGCACTTTTAAAAACTACCTCTGTTTAAGAAAGCTCATAACATCAAGAGCAAAACTAAGAACTGAATTATGTTTATAAGACTCAAATATTTATTATAGAAGCAATTTTCATGAACATTCTTTTTTCAGTACTATAGCACAGCGGTAGGGCGTTCGCCTTACAAGCGGCCAACATGGCCGACCGGAGTTCGATTCCTCCGCCCCTCTCGGAGAGCCCGGCAAGCTACCGAGAGTATCTCGCCCGCACGGCAGAGTCTGGCAAGCTCCCCGTGACGTATTCGATATGCCAGACACAGTAACAACAAAGTCTCCAATGGAGACGTTACTGGGCCCGCTCGAGCAAATCGACGATCAACCGGAGGGCCTTTACCTTTACCTTACTACCATGGTATGGAAATTAATTCATCTCAGGCCAGAGGGTTAGTACAGTGGATAAGGTGCTTGCCTTGCACAGTCAATCTGGGTTTGATCCTCGGCACCACTGATTGTCCCCTGAGTGACAGGAGTGATCCCTGAGCACAGAGTCAGGAGTCAGCCCTTGAGTACTGCCTGGTGTGGCCCCCCAAAGAGAGGAAGGAAGGGAGGCAGGGAGGGAGGGAGGGAGGGAGGAAGGAAGGAAGGAAGGAAGGAAGGAAGGAAGGAAGGAAGGAAGGAAGGAAGGAAGGGAGGAAGGGAGGAAGAGAGGGAGGGAGGAAGGGAGGGAGGGAGGAAAAGAGGAAGGAGGGAAAGAGGGAGGGAAAGAAAGGAATAAAAAAAGGAATAATGAAAGAAAGAATGGAAGGAAGGAGGGAAGGGAGGGAGGGAGGGAGGAAGGAAGGAAGGAAGGAAGGAAGGAAGGGAGGGAGGGAGGGAGGGAGGGAGGGAGGGAGGAAAAGAGGAAGGAGGGAAAGAGGGAGGGAAAGAAAGGAATAAAAAAGGAATAATGAAAGAAAGAATGGAAGGAAGGAGGGAAGGGAGGAAGGAAGGAAGGGAGGGAAGGAGGGAGGGAGGCTCATTTATCTAAAGTATTTCCCATGAGCACCTTTTGGTTCCATGGTTCACCTGAAGTTCCAGAAAGAACATTGGGGCCTGAAATGTGGCATCTGTTTTGCAGATATCTCTGATTACTGGACACTAATAACAATCTACTTGGAAAAGTCCCTTTTGGACATCTGGAGATGAAAGAGAGGACTTTGACTTTTGCAACATTAATTTCTCTCAGAGGAGATTATTGGGTTTTCTTAGCAGTTTTTCTCTTTGCTGGCTTCTAGTTCCTTCTGCTAAAATGAACTACTTTTTAAGCTGGAATGTTCTAGAGTAATCTTTTGCATACATATATGACTCTATCTGTTATTCTTTTTCTGCTCAAGAACCTGTAAAAATATGTTCTAAAAATTTTCATACCAGATATCATAGTTCCCTTCTGCAGAACTTGTCACTGTTTTCTGCACCTATGTTATCTAGCCAACTTAATTTTAAATTAATTGGAAGCCAAGAGATGTCTTAGAATGTGGTGCACAAGAAGTGGACTGTAAGTACTTGGGGGAATCAAGTACTGCGTTGCCTCTAATTTATCACTCCCTGACCCTCATGGTGCTTTTCTTTCTCACAAACTCCTTCCACACATAATGAAAACAAAACTCAAGCAATATTTTTCCCTTGTCTTAAACTATAATTTATATAAAGAGGCAATCTACGAAGTGTGATGGTTAAGAGCAGTGACCCTGAGCCCAAGGACTACTAACGATTCTTGGTTCAATGATTAACCAGCTTTGTAAACTAAGGAAAATTATTCATCTGTCTGTGTGGTTTATACCACTTCTGTAAATTAGCGCAGTGCAAGGTCACATACCACACTGGGTTATTGTGATGACTAAAAATATAACATGCAGCAAATGCTATGTAAATATTATTTCTAAATAACAACCTTATTTAGGGCCTTCATTTTCTATGGGTTTATTGGTAATATATCCCTCTAACTTGGATGAGGAATAATTTTTCTTTTAGATAGCACTTAGCTAGAACACATTGTTAGACTTCTTTCTTTTTAATTGGATTTTTTAAAAAAAAAATTGGATCACAGTGAGATACACAGTTACAAAGTTGTCCATGATTATATTTTAGTCATACAATGTTTCAACACCCATCTCTTCACCAGTGCACATTTACCACTACAATATCCCCAGTTTCCCTCCCCCGCCGTTCCTTCCCCCCATGGCAGGCTCTCTCTCTCTCTCTCTCTCTCTCTCTCTCTCTCTCTCTCTCTTTCTCTCTCTCTCTCTCTTTCTCTCTCTCTCTCTCTCACAAACCTTCTGGTTTGCAATACAGATCATTTTTAGATTTCTAACAGCAAAAATATTTACTTCTACATACTGAATTTGCACCATAATATTTATATATACTTACCTTAATTTGCTCATTCCAGTTGCTAATAACAAGATTTGCTGTCTTTTCAACTTCATTATCAAGCTATTAAAGAGAAAATAAAGATTAGCAGTCTGGTTTTTATTATTAAGAGGAAATTCAGGCTTATTAATTTTGGCACAACCATATTTCAAATTCCATATATTTCATGAGACAAAGTCACCAAACTTTCTTTTTCCTCATCTCAATAACCTCTTAACAGGATTTATTGTAAGTGGCGTTTGGTGAAATAATTATTGAGTTTTTTCTTTCCTTTAAAAATTTCTAATAGTGAAAATGGCTGTAAATGTGTGTATTCTGCTTAGCAAAGGATCCTGGATACCTTGGCATCACTTCCTATTTCATCAGTTCTTTGGTAGCATTCTTGGTAGCCAAGTCCATAATCCAAAAGTCAGTGCTAATTTTTCTTAGTGGTCTTATTGCTCTTGAAAGATATATGTCTCTAATTTTTCTTTTCCCTCCCCCCAACCCTCACACACACTTTTTTCTTTTCTTTTTCTTATTTTGAGATACACCCAGTGATCTGAGCTACTCCCAACTCAGTACTTAGAGGTAGTCCCTGGTGATACAGGAAATCAAACCTGGACCTACAGTCTGCAAAGCAAGCACTCAACCTATTGTGCTGTCTCTCTGGCCTAGTTTTAAAGAGGTGTATTCTTTTCTTCTTTGTTTGTTCTTAGGTTATACTCAACAGTGTTTGGGACTACTCCTGGCTCAGAGCTCAGGGGTAAGTTAATGGCAGTGTTCAGGGGATCATGTAATGCAAATCATGAGTTCATTACTATCTCTTTGGTACTGAATTCTTCATCACAATTAGGGACAGTCATAATAATAATGAATTGAGTCTATGCAATCCCGCAAGATAAATTAGGGAAAAATCTTTTTGTCTTGGTCACAGATCTTTTTTTGAAACACACTAATCATTTATCTCTCAACCACTGAGCTCTAGCAACAGAAGGCTATTTTTTTTTTACATGTGGTGATACCTGAAATATATGATTTACTGTAACCAATACAATAAAAATAGTTTTATATTTGATGTTAATTTTGACTCTCAGTATGGGACTGAAATGTAGAACAACTTAACTTGAAGAAAATTGAAGCCTTTAACTTTTATGAGAGAATGGGACAGGGTATTGAGCTATAATGCTGTCGGGAAGGGGCTGATAGAGAATCATTAACAGGAATGGCAGTTTGGGGGGGAAACCTTGATAATCATTATTTATAGCACTGTGATAATAATCATATTGTGGTAAGCAATAAGAAAATACTATTAATATGTGGTTGAAAACTATTTTGTAATGAATGAAATATAGATGAAATATAGACTAGTGTTTTCTTTCTTTCCTATCTTTATTTCCTTTCTTAAAATTTGGGGTTAAATATGGAGATATTCAAAGCTTCCTCCTGCTCTGTGCTCAAGGATCTCTCCTGGAAGGTCTTGGAGGATCATATGTGGTGCAGTGATCCAAAGTTGGTTACATGTAAATTAAACACCGTCTCAGCTGTACTTTCTCTCTGATCCCTAGACTGTTTTGTGACTTGTCTCCCCCACACCCCTGCCACCCAATTGTTTGCAAAAATAAAAGACTATAACTTTTAGTAATTATTGAAAATTTCACCCAATACTTTAGCTCTAAGTCTATCAACCCTTATGGTAAAAATATGTCTCTGACATCACCAACACCATCCATTTCTTAACTCCATTAATGAGTCTGAATACACTGGCATATTATTTCTTTTTTTTTTATCAGAAATTCATATTGCCTGTAAATATATTTCAAAGCACTTAAAGACTGCATGAAGCACAAGTAGAATAAAAATTGAGCACAAATGAAACTGTTCTGGGAAAAAAGTCATCTCACAGAAAGACTAGAGGTTGTAAAGGAGGTATATTGGAACACCACCTACCACTGAAATAACTGATTAGTTCTTTACTCCAATTTTTTAAAGACAATTTAAGGACTACACTGTCATTGCTTTTTCTTAATCCAAAGACTAAGTATAAAAAGTATGTCTTTTGCAAATTGTGTTCAGAGACCAGAGCGATCACTTAAAGAGCTAGAATGCATGATTTGCATGTAGAAGCGCCAGGTTTGATGCCTGCTACTGTGTGATCTCATGAGCACCACTGCAAGTGACCCTGACACCAATAAGTAATACTTGTATAGCCCCATAGAACCACTAGGTGTGGGTGTATCACACAAACATACCAAAAAGCTGTGCTTATGGCTCTTCTATTTACAAAAAGAGTAAATATTATTCATTGGGATAAAAATAGAAACACACAAAAATATAAAAACTAATTTATTATTAGACTAGTTTTAAATAATCATTACTAACATTTGGGAGAGGGTCTTCTAGAATTTTTTCTATTGACTTCAGAAAATTGAGATATTAGATATTATTTTTAGTCTGCCTTTTGATTACACACTGTGTAATGAAAAAAACCCATTATTAAATCCTTCGATATTAAGACTTCTAATGGTTTCATGTTCCATTGCTTAAATTTACCATAATTTATATTTTGTATGATGTTTTTCAGCTTTTTACCAACATAAATAATGCTTTATCATACATCCATATACCTATATTTTTGCATTTCTCTTTATTTTTATGGTAAATTCCAGAACTCTAGTACCCCTTTAAGATCACCTTTTCCTTCTTGGGCCTAAAACAGAAATGTTTAATCTTGCTTAAACAAGAAAGAAAAGAAAGTTCTGACTCACTGATTTTCTCTTCTTCTCATGTACACTCAGGACTTGATGAGTTGGTTTTATTGCTTCCAACTCAATTGCTTTGCCAAGTTTTCTGGAAATAGAACATAAAAGATATACAAGTATAGTATTAGGATTTATATCAACTTTCCAAATTATTTTCTGGGAAAATAAAATGATGTGTCACAGGGTATCTAGTCAGTATGAGTTTGAAGTATTTGGAGCACACCAAATTTTAATATGGATAACCCTCTCTGAGGGTTAAGCAAGACCAGGCTGGGAACACTCACTGATGCAGATCGGCTGCAGATTTCATGCCTTCTGAGACCCAGGCCCAGGCACTGACGAGACAGCTGGAGGCAAAAACAGGGGGTGGGGAGTGAAAACAGTGTCATTTCCCAGTAACATCAGAGAAATAAAGAATCACGTCTGATTCACTACACTCAGCAACTGCTTCATTTCCTTCTACCTATTTTAGTTCCTCCTTGGGATTAAATGTTGGTGTATTTATTTGCAATAGTCATTACATAGATGGTTTTCCCCCTGCCCTCTCCACCCCCTGTCATTTTTCATTTCAATTCACATTTTCCATTTCGTGGCTATAGAAAACCAGGAAACTAAAGTCACCAAGAGTGAGATGGCATTTAAAACAGGCATTAGAGAGGTGCTCAGGTCGAAGGTGCTTAAATACAGTCTTGTGGAAGCTTCATTTTGCAAATGAATAAACTGAGACTCAGATAAATGAAAGAAGCAAGGACAAAAGAGCCCTGGTGGTATTCTGAGTACTACTCTTGTGGTTAAGTCTAACTCCTGCTCCCTCTTAGTTTTTAAAGACAAAAGCTCAGATATTTTATGGTCTTGTGAACAGTATCCAAATCTCAAAAAAATGATAGCAGTGCCCGCTCCCTGGCAGCACAAGAGGAAGAAGGCAGGAAATGTCATTCTCTGTTTGTTCTGTACAAGGAGTGTATTTTGCATCTATGGGCCTTCAAAGGAGAGAACAAGCCCAGCTGCTTTAACTGACTGCAGTGACTGAGGCCCAGGTATATTTTGATGGCAGAGGAGGGGATAGATGTGTGTCTCTTCTGAAATCAGTCGAGATGCAGAAAAACAATAGGAACAATAGACCAAATGATTCCAGAGGTTTTGCCTAGCCAAAGCAAAGTTCAAAATAAGTCAAGGAGATGAATGACCGTAGAATTCTAGTATCAAATTCCAGAAACATGAAGACTAATCTCTATTGAGCCAGTGGGGTGATTCGGTGATAAGGGCATGGCTTGTATGCACAAGACCTTGGTTTGATTCCCAACACTCAAAAAATATGAAACAGGCACAACTGGGAAAATCTCTACTGTTAGCACTTTGTAGGAGCAGAGCAGAGTGCAGGAAAAATCAGGATGTTGATGTCAGGAGGTCTGTGTCTGAACACCTTTGCTTTGATTTTGGCCCCCACACCAAGGTGGTCGGGCTTATTCCTGTTTCTGTGCTTAAGGATCACTCCTAGTGGAGCTCAGGGAACCATATGAGGTGCCAGGGCTCAAACCCCGGTCGGGTGAGTGCAAAGCAAGTGCCTTACATGCTATACTATCTCTCTAGACCCTATTTCCTGACTTTGGAAGTATCTCTTCTCTGACCATCACTTAACGGGTCTTTTAAAATTAAAATAAGTCATGTTACACATACAAATAACTAGCACAATTAATGTCCATTTGTTAACCAAAAATTTTGGTTATGCCAGCTCTTTGGGAGGGCTATACTGGATGCCAGAGTTGCAACACAAGACAAACACCTGTCCATTCCTTATTTTTTTAGAACCAAAACCATGATGAACACTTAATGGAGATTTGGCTATGTACCAAGTGCCAAGCATGCTTCTCATATTAGCTCATTTAATCCTCACAAAAATCATATGATATTTATTGTATTTTCATTTTTGATAGACATGTAAATATCAATCTAAAGAGAGGCAAAGTAAATGGTCCTAGTTCGTCCACCAATTGCTTGAAGGGTAGAATTGAATTCTGGGCAGTGTAAATACTCTGTGTAGTTGAACAGAACATAGCACTGGATTTTCCATAGTATACTAAAATATCCTATTTAGAAGCCAGGATCCAAGTTAGAGCAATTGATAAAACAATATTATTCTTCCAGTTGATGCCTGAGTGAGTGGTGTGGAAATGTGAACTCCTAAAGTTTTTTTGTTTTTTTCTCTCACTCTTCCCTCAACAAAAGAGGGCTGGGCAATGACACTGCTGGTTCAGGGTGATGTCTGTAAGCATTAGTCAGAATTCTTCTGAGTAAATGATCACTAGAAGCTTGCTTCAAGAAAAACTTCTCCTTTTTTCCTAAAGAAATCATTACCGGTAATGCTTGCATTTGAGAAAAATGCAGACTGATATTCTGTCAGCAGAATGTATTCATTGTTTTTACATACATGGTACCATTTGATATACTCCCTACACACATCCATGACAAATGTGTGCGCACTGTCTCTGTAAGTGGAAGAAATGAAGACACAGAGCAGAAGGTTACCTGTCAAAGTTGCACAATTGAGATAAAGCAGGATTACACTTCTGATGCCAAATGATTCCAAGCTAAATAGAATCACCAGTGATGCAACTCATTATCTGTGGGATTAGAGCAAATCTCTCCAACTTTCCAAGTCTCAAGTCCTTGTCTGCTCTTAGAAATAATAACAATGCTTTTCAAGGAGGGTTGTGGTTTTAACTCACTTCACAAGGTCGCTGGCAAATAATAAGTGGTCAGGAATGGAGGCAAAACATGACATAATGTACCTCCCATAGGTACAAAAGAAAGTTGGAATTGAATATATGTCACTTCTCATTATTTTTAGGAAAATGTTTGCCTTTTATCTTCCATATACTTACTTTTTCTTTGTGTTCTGTATTGCTTTGCTCAATTTACTTGCCAGTTTCTGCAGTCCTTTGGCATAGCTAACCTCCAAATTGGCCCTATTAGCAAAGGGAGGGTTATTAGATAGGATATTTCGGCAAGAGCTTAAGCAGAACCACACACACATCCCCACCCCAACTCACAACCCTGAACCCCTGAACCCCCTTATACTTAACCTCCCACCCCCCGCCACACACACGAAGGATGGTCTCAGGAATATGCAGGGTGTGTCTACATCAGGAAGAGTCAAGAAGGGTGCTCACTTTGACAACACATATACTAAAATTGAAACAATACAGAGATTAGCATGACCCCTGCACAAAGATGACACACAAATTCATGAAGTGTTCATTTTTTTAAAGAAAAAAAATGATTTGTTTAGTTCTTGAAGGATTCTCTTATTGTTGTGTTTAATCCTTAAAGATAGATCTAAAAGAATCCTATACAGGGAAAGGTTTTTATTTTTTTTAATTTTATTGTCTTCTTAGGATTAAATTGTATCTTCTATACCACTGCACTCTCCCCTCTAAAATAAAATAAAAAATGGTTTTGAAGTCCTAGCCCATAGTGCACTTGAATATGTTTTTATTTGGAAATGAGCAAGCTGAGTCTCGTTCGTTATCGGAATTAACCAGACAAATCGCTCCACCAACTAAGAACGGCCATGCACCACCACCCACGGAATCGAGAAAGAGCTATCAATCTGTCAATCCTGTCCGCGTCCGGGCCGGGTGAGTTTTCCCGTGTTGACTCAAATTAAGCCGCAGGCTCCACTCCTGGTGGTGCCCTTCCATCAATTCCTTTAAGTTTCAGCTTTGCAACCATACTCCCCCTGGAACCCAAAGACTTTGGTTTCCCGGAAGCTGCCCGGTGGGTCATGGGAATAACACCGCAGCATCGCCAGTCGGCATCCTTTATGGTCGGAACTACGACGGTATCTGATCGTCTTCGAACCTCCGACTTTCGTTCTTGATTAATGAAAACATTCTTGGCAAATGCTTTCGCTCTGGTCCGTCTTGCTCTCCTAAAGAGCCTTGAATATAATCTCAGGGCTAGGATGAAAGAGACGTTACTGGGGCCTGCTCGAGGCAATCGACGAATAACAGGATGATGAATGATGAATGAATGAATGAGTAAGCTGAGGTTGTTGGCATGGGTGCAAAGCAATAGAGATGTGTCCTTATGAAAAAGAGAAATTTGGACATAGAAACAGACATGGATACAGTGGAGATGAAGACAGAGATCAGGGTGAGGCACCCAGAAGTCAAGAAATGCAGAAGATTTTCAACAAAACACTGGAATCTAGGAGAAGAGCCTGGAATGGTCTTCCTCACAGCCGCCAAAGGAACCAACTAGTCAATATTTGGATCTCTGCATCCAGAAACGTGAGACAGTAAATATTTAAGTCATTCATTGTTACTGTAGCAGCCTTAGCAAAATATTTCAGCTAGTAAAGAGCATAAACCATCCCTACTCATTCTAGGGCATTGGTATTAGATTAGATGTACATTATAATTGCTGGCAATAGAATGAAAAATTTTGATAGAATTACTGAGCAGTCATTCTCTTTTGGGAAACTGCAAAGGGACCCACACCAGATTTAGAAAACAATTTTCCATCCCTTTCTATGCAGGACAAGACTCAGTAGGGAATCTCAGCCCTCTGCAAGAAAACTTGTTTCTTTTGGGTAAATTTCATCACACCCATCTTAAACTGATTTTTACCATGCCCTACTTATAGGCCCATTTGTAGCTAACAGTTAAAAAAAAAAAGCATTTTCATTCATTTTTTTCACTGTTCACTAAAGGTAATAAGGTAAAGGCCCTCCCGTTGTTCATCGATTTGCTTGAGCGGGCCCAGTAACGTCTCCATTGGAGACTTTGTTGTTACTGTGTTTGGCATATCGAATACATCACGGGTCGCTTGCCAGGCTCTGCCGTGCGGGCGAGATACTCTCGGTAGCTTGCCGGGCTCTCCGAGAGGGGCGGAGGAATCGAACTCGGGTCGGCCATGTTGGCTGCGTGCAAGGCAAATGCCCTACCACTGTGCTATCGCTCCAAACATAAAAAAATAAGAAATTAAATCAGGGTGTTTGTTTGCTATTTTCAGCCTTTTATTTGGTAAAGAAGATAGTTTTATTAAAACTTATTTGGAAAGAAGTGTAGACAAAGAAAGAAAAATATGTGTTCAAAAATGAGCACAGGCTTCTCCAGAGTAGAAATCAGCAGGGCTAGAGCGATAGTGTGTAAGCTCAAACAGACAGCAGCAGTGGTCTATCTCTCTCACCGCCCACGTTCAGTAGTCTCATGCCAGTTACCCCACCCCGGGGAGGTTGATGGCGATGGGCAGGCGAAGGAAGGAAACGAGGTTGCAGGCGAAGGAAGGAAACGAGGGCCAGGCTGGTTGGTGTCAGTTGCAGTTTATTCCATTCCCATCTCCATACTCTTCTGATTCTCCTCCTGCTTCTTCCTCCCCCATGCTACTTCATTCTCCTTCTTGATCCCCCTTCATCCTCCTTCTGGCTCTGGAATTTGGATCTGGATCCACTTTCTCCTTCTCCTTCTGGAGTCAGGATCCAGATACCCTAGCCCACTCTTACAGTATATACAGATATATACTCCCCCCCCCCCCCATGAGGGGTTGGGGCTTACACATAGGTGTGGTCACAATCAATAGGAGTAAAGTTCTTTCCCTCAGGGAAAGCCACTTCTAAGTCAGATACTGTCTCAGCAGGATGACCCACCCTAGAACGTAATCCCCTGGGTGTGTTTCTCCTCTCCTTGTCCAACAAACATATAAGCATTCATATAATCATTTTGTATGGACACAGTAAGAAATACATTAAGCTTATAGAATTGCTCTCCTAGGACCATCTTGATCACAGACTACAGTGCTCAAGCCAGATAGTCTTTCCTATCCCTAGCAAGGTTCTAGTCTCGTCGTTACTTTTGGATCATGACAGCATTTGTCTATGACCAAGCTCTTAACTTATAGTTAAAAATTGTGAAACTGTGGCCTGGCCCATTTTGATGCCAGGGTAGCTCACCACTTGCCCTGGTGAGCAAGGAAACAAGGTCCCTCGTTTGGGATGCTGCTTTGGGGGTGTTAGGAACCAAGGGCAACTGAGGCTTAAGTTGAGAAAGCAGATGTCTGGGAGTGAATACTACTCAAAGCCAATTAAATCCTAAATTACAAAGTATAATATTAAATATCTTCCTGTATCTATACAAAAAAGACATTGCATTAAAGTAAGCTATTCAAAAGACATAAGGAAAGGAGAAAGGCAATATTAGTTTACAATACAATTTCAGTGTCCTAGAAGGATCTGCCCTTACAAATTAACAGAGTCTGATTAGGGGGAAAATCAGATTAACTGGTTGGGGAAGACAGCAGAGAGAAGTGGTTACAGATAAACAAAGGAATGGGAGTGACTTAGGAGCACTGTGATGGGTGTAACCTGATAAACCTAAGCTCATTGTGACAAGGGAAAAAGGACAAAGCAATGTCATCCTACATGATAGTACATTAGGTAGAATTCTTGCTTTGCATGTGGCTGACCCAGGTTCAATTGCCAGCACCTCATATGGACCCTCTGATCCCCATAAGAGACAAGCAAGAGAGACAAGTATTCAAGAGGGCTTGAAGATCAAGTCTATCTTCAGTCTTCTAATACTACTTTTATTATAAAATATCTCTAGAGTTATGTATGACTTCATTTCATTTGGGGAAAAAAATCTGGAAGTCTCCAGTAACTAATAGAATTCTGTAATATTTAGATCAATTTGACCAAACAAGAAAAATAAACTCTCTTATAAACTATTTATTGATCAGTCATAAACTATTGATCCATCATAAATTTCTATTCATTTCCCCCAATCAGTACACCTGTGCTCTAAGTAAACTTTCTATAAGGAAGCTTTAAAATAAATATTTTAAAATAATGAATACATTTTTAAAGAGATTTTTCTGCTATAGAAATATATTACAATTGATGGAGAGAGTGTTTTTCAGTAGCAGATTTTGAAGAAACTATCATTTGGGCGCCTTAGAATCCAAGGAGACATTTACCATTCAGTGAGTCACTTTAGGCAACTTTAAAATAGAGTGATCCGGGGGACAGAGCAATAGCATAGTGGGCAAGGCTCTTGCCTTGCATGCAGCCACCTGGGTTCAATCTCCAGCATCCAGCCACCTGGGTTCAATCTTCAGCATCCCATAGGATTCCCTGAGCACCACCAGGAGTGATCCCTGAGTGCATAGCCAGTTTAACCCTTAAACACAGCTGGGTGTGCCTCTCCCGCATCTACCAAAAAAGAGTGATCAGGGCTGGGGTGATTGTACAGTGTGTAGGGCACCTACCTTGCGTGAGACCAACCCGAGTTCCATCTCTGGCATCTCATATCATCCCCTGAACACTACCAGGAGTGATGTGCAGAGTGCAGAAACAGGAGTAACCCTTGAGTATCACCAGGTGTGCCCCCAAAACAAAAAAGACAATGATCAGACTGAGGAACGCAGGTAGACAGGAAAAGGCCCTTGGCAATGAAACTTGGATTAACAAAGTTTCATGGAAGAAGAATTCTAGGACTGATCCACCTTGTGGATACAGAAAACAAAGACCTGATAAGACCATCGGCAGACCCTGAGGATATAGACCCCCTCCCCATGAAGTTTCTCTTCATGAAAATCCTCCATGAAAATCCTCGGACCTCTCTTTTAATCCGATTAACTTCAGTGACCCAGCCAGGAAAGGACAGGAAAGGAATTTTTAAAGAAGACCATCACCTTTCCCAACCCCCCTGGTAACCTCCTTAGCAATGGGCCCACGTGGGGCAGGTTGAAGAAACCCTATAAAGGCCACCTTGAACAAAGGAAGGGCGCTCATATGCTGCTTGAGTCCATGTGGCGGAGCACATGTGGTGCCCAAGCCCATGTGTTGCCCGCATCTTCCCTCTTGAAATGTGTACTTTCATGCTTTCATGTCTAATGTTAGGATGTGTGTAGGGGCTCTCTCCACCCTTGGAGAAGCCTGCGTTCTCTCCGAGCACGTTACCCCATCTCTCTTACTCTCCATTCCCCCACTTATCCGCTTATCCCTTTCTCTTTCTCTCCAAAAAACTTCCAAATAAAATCTGTTACTTCACTGCTTGTCCACTCCTGAAATTCTTTTTTGCGAGCGAGACAAGAACCCTAGAAACCCCGGGTAAGGCCTGGGACTGGCCTCGCCTTTCCTGCAAAGAGCAAATCCCCGCCCCAGCCTGAGTCCAGGGCTCCCCAAGCAATCAGGTGGCGGGGATCAACTCCCTTGCGGAGAAGACCAAGCCGACTTTAGGTGTGGCCTGAAGGCTACCTTGTGGGG